TAATATTCTTTTCTCATTTTAAAAATGGGGATAAATGGCCTTAGATTAAACCACAGAAACCAAATAATCAAACACCCACAGTTCCCTGCCAGTTTACCTGACACTACCTCGGGTGGGCCGCACTTGGCAGCTGGAAGCCCCGTCCTCCAGTACCACCCGAAGTTCCAATCTCCGGAGCCAGCCTTCCTCAGTCTTTGGCCTCTCCACAAAGCACCACCCCTGCTACCTGCTCCAACTCCTACGCAAGCAGTTGGGTCAGCTGTCACCATGGTTACCAGTAAACCCACTCCGTGATATCCTGGATGCATTCATGCAAAAGAGCTTCGGAGGTTTTGACTTTATCTGACTCCCGGTCGCAGACCAGAGAAGAAGGGCAGGCATAGGGAGCAGGGGGAGACACGTTTCCAGGGCACAGAATCAGCTGGCGTTCCCCGGCCCCCGGAAAGAGCTGTTACCCAGCAGGGATGGTGTGTCCACACAAGCTCTGAGTGCAGCCAGTCCCACACCAAGTGCAGCAGCCCTTCCTCCCTTGCTAGAGCCTGCATCAGGGACGGGGCAGAGGCTTCCCCTCAGAACCAGCACCTCAGCTTTCTCTCTGGAAAATGGGAGCTGTTCTGCGTCTGCCACTCCCATTAGGGTTAGGTCAGTGTAAAAAAAGAAGAAAAGAAAAGATGGTGGCCTGGGCAGTCGTGAGTCTCTCACTGGCCCTCTGTCGTGGAGGGAACACGCACTGCCTGCTGCCTCTAGGAATTCCCTCAGTTCATCTCTTTCCATGCTCCCCCGACATCAGTTCCTCTGTTCCCCTTGCCTGGACCAGGACAGGAGTTTTCTAAACCTCACTCCTCATCTGATCCATCCTCCACTGAAGGCACAAGTCCCGGAGGGTCGCAGTTTTTAATTTAGCCAGACACAGCCGCCATGGTGGTCTTGGTTATGGAGGAAGCAACTCCTTCACCTCTCAGCCTCTGAGACCCAAATGGAAGATGCTTGGCCACTTAATCCTTGGCCTTTTCCAGCCAGGGCTGATGCCCTTGCCCAGGCCCTGAGCTGTGTCCTCACCCTGCCAGCCTTCCAACCTGGGTGCCCAGGCACATTCTGTCCGTGTGTTCCAGGCCGCCTGGGAGAAGCAACACCCCTCCCAGAGGCCCTGGCCTTTCCATGGACAACCCCTGGCCTTTCGGCAGTGTGCCGACAGTTCCCTGCTTCCGCTTGGGCGGACCTGGTTCCTCTCTATCACCACCTGGGGGGCTGTGGAGAGGGAGGGAGAAAGAGACCAGAGACAGAGACCCCTAGTGATCAGCTCAGCCTTCATCACCTCCTCAGCCTCTCTCTGGGCCCAACTCTCCCAGCAATGCCGTCAGATGAATCTCATTTCTGAAAAGTTCCTTCTTGCCTGGCTACACAAAACCTCAAGGCCACTAGCCCCTTCCGACGAAACCCACACTCGAAAGCCAGGCGCTGGGGCTGTCTGGGAGACACAACACTGATACAGGGCGTAGATGGGAATTTGAGAAGGGTTTGTGTTTGTTGTTTTGTTTTCCTGGTGTCCTCTCTATTGGAAAGGGCTCGCCTCTTCTCTCCTGGCCGGTTCTGACTCATCCCGCAATGCCCAGTTTGCAGGCCATTCCCTGTCCCTCCACAGAGCGAGTCTCAGAGGTCTGGCTCCAAGGCCGCCTTGGCTTCTTCACTCTCTGCAGTCTGACTCCTCTCGGCACGCTCTCTCATCCACCTGGCTAGGGCCTGATGCTTTAGGAAGTAGATCCAATACTGTTCTGTACACGGCGCCCAGGATGGACAGAGGTGGCCGTGAAGGTGTGCCTAGCTATTGATGAGAGACGCACACGAAAGCAACACGAGATAAAATCCAAGGATGCGACCAGGAAAGCCGCTTCCAGAGACAGGCTTAACCTTGAGTGCAGTTCCTGCCCCCTCCCCTGCCTGGGCCTGGTTCTGGTCCTGGTCCACAGCCCTTGAGCATCTGTGAGACTCCCCACTGAAAGAGCCCTTAGCCACTCCAGAAATGGTCCACACAAGCAAGGCAGAGAAGCAGAATTAAAAACCCTGTTCCTGGTTAGCCCCTAGGACAGCTGTTCCCAGAAGACCTCCAAAGGGGGAGGGAGGGTCAGCAGGTCCCTGCCCTGTGCTAGGGATGGGGGGGGGGGATTCACCTTCCCTCCGCCCCTCACATTCACACCCCACACCCTGACTTCCTTCCATGGGTGCCAGGGCTTCCTGGGGGCACCCTGGGGTCTCTGAGCTGCAGAATGTCCACTTTTTAACTTAGTGCCTGACCAAGGCATCCCTGAGGGCACCCTTCCTCCTAGGAGGCCTTGTCTGGCCCCGAGCAAGGGTTTTGCTGGGGAAAAGCAAGTGCCCTATTGCTGAAGAGGGATGAGAGAGAAGACGGAAGACGACAGGAGCATTGTTCCACCTCTGGGACTGGCCACACTCAACCCCTGCCTCCAGAACTACCCCTGACTAACCCAGCCCCCGCTCCCAATCCAGACTTTCTGGGAGGGGGGAACACGAGTTTACGCTTCGGTTGTCCAATCTGCAAGGATTGTCAAGGGATCCATATTCCGTGAAGCTAAGACGACGAGGCAGCCTCTCCGGATCCTTGGTTTGTACTCTCGCTGGGGTCCCCTCCTCCCCCTTCCTTCTGCCACCGCACCCCTGCCCAGCCTGGACTGGGATTGGGGTTTCTCCGCAAAAAGATTGCCAGGCTTCGTGGTACTAGGCGTGTGTGCTCTCAGTACTGAAGGGGGCAGGAGCTGGCCCACCTCTATACTCAGTAGATGAAGATGGTTAGGGCTCAGAGAGGGGCAGTGCTAGCCCAAGGTCACACAGCAAGGCCCAGAAGAACCTAGACCTCCCACCTCCCATTCTCCTGCTCTCAGAACCCTGTAGGTAAGTATGGGGCCCTGGAAACATCAGGGTGCAGACACTGTCTGCCCCCCACCCCTACCACCAGCACTCACACCCAGGGCCCCCTTACCTCCTGGACTTCAGCAGGCCTTACCTCAGAACCCACTCCTGGGCGGGGCGCTCGGGCCAGGCTGGACTAGGCTGGGCCAGGCGAGGTCAGGGCGGGTCCTCCGCTCCCCTCCAGGGGGGTCCCAGACCTCAGGGATGCTGCCGCCACCGTGATGTTCAACTCCACCCACCCCGCTCCGCATAACCCCAGATGGACCCGGACAGTGAAACTCTTCTGCGCGGTGGCTGGGCTGCGGGACGGAGCGGAGGGGGGAGGGGCGAGGTGCGGGAAACGGGGCGGAGCCAGAGCGGGGGCTACCCCCGCGGGCGGCCACTCGGGCCGCGTCCCCTTTAAGGCCAGCCGGCCCGAGGGTGGGTGGGGCGGGCCAGTCGCGAGCCGGCTCCCTGCGTTGCCTCCTGGGAGGTGGAGTCCGGGCGGGGGCGCGCTGCGTCGCGAGGCTCCATCAGAGGGACTACAAGTCCCGGCGGCCAGCGCGCGGCCCGGGATACCCCGCCCCTGCCCCCGCCCGGTCCGCCCCCTGGCGAAGCTGCGCTGGCTGGAGGGGAGGCTGCGGAGCGAGGGCTGGAGGTGGGTGCGGTGCGCCGAGGGTGAGGGGGAGCTCGGGACCCAGCAGACGCGTAGTGGGGCCCGCAGGGCACCTGTCCCGCCGTGAAATATCATCTGTTGCCGCCTCGATGGTCTCATCAGTGAAGTGGGGTGGCCCCGCCCTTGGCCGCGGGGGAGGGGCGCGTTTGGGGTGGTGGGGTGGACGGAGCTGGGGGTGGGGGACGGGGCTGGGGATGGGCGCTCTGTGGGAGGAGCTTTGGGTGGGTGGGGAGAGGGGCGGGGTCTGCAGATGAGCAGGGGCGTCTTGTCTGTCTGATCCCCGAAGGGTCGAAGGGTCGGGTTGCAGCGCCCAGGAGTAGGGTGCATGGTCAGGTGAAGGGGCGCAGGGCGAACCACAGGGATGACAGGGACCCCCTCCCAGCTCTGGCCACCCCAGGGCGTGTGGTTGAACTGTGGACCCGTGGATGGACACAGCACCGTTCATTTCATGTGACTAAGAAATAAAGAGCCCATCCTCGGTGCTTAGTGCGTCACACACAAAACTCAGTCGACTCTCGCATCCCGCAAAGGCTTCGCCTCATCCGTTTCCATTTGAGGAACACGGGTGACAAGTTACTCGCCGCAAACGCCTTCAACGACCCTGCTTTTTTCTGCAGGCCGGGGAAACAGGTTGGGTCTGGGGTAGTGTAGGGAAGAAATAAACCTGATCTACCCTGCCAAAGTTGTGCTCCGGGACGAGTTCCCTCAGCTCCTCCACGCACCGAGCTAGAAGGCAACCCTCCTACAGTGTCTTCAGGCTGGAGGGATTTGAAAGCCCTTTGTTTCTCATTATCACTGATGCGAGGCGTGGAAAGACCACGGGAAGAGAAAGGAGGTGGTTACAAAGCAGGAGAGCGAGCCAATATGGCTAAGGAAAGTTCTGCATGGTGTTGGGAGTCTGCACCATCTTTAACAAAGCATTTCTGTACAAGCAGGGAAATCGCATCTGGCTGGGTGCTTTTTCCTTCCAGCCTACTCCCCCCTCCCCTGCTGCGCTGATGGTCACAAAGTCCAGGGTCCCTTGTGTGAACTGAGTCTAGAAGGTACCTGTCCTCTCTTGCTAAGTTGGTCCTATGGCCTCTTACAGGTTGGATACAGCTGTTGGGTGTGCAGGGTGAAGGTGAAGTCTGCCCGACTCTCAGCCAAAGTCCATAAGCTGGTGATCTAACCGGGTTAGGTGGGGAAGCTGCTGGTTGACCGGTAGACACTTGGAACGCTGTCATCTTTGAAATGTGCCCAGTGCCCTGCCCACTCCCCTCCACAATGGCAGTCTTCGTTGCCTGACAGCCCAGCAGTCAGAGAGACCTTGTCCTAGGACTTTGATTCCAAACAGAAAATTCAAGTATTTTAAAATGAAGTGTTTTAAAAATATTTGTCTCCAAGACAGGGAAATAAATATTCCTGTTGGTAAATAAGTCTGTCAGGGAAGGTGGAAATGGTTCAAACTAAACAAAGTAAGAAAAAAAAGTGTACTCTGCTACCAGTCCCTGCCCAGCCTGTTTCTGGGCGTAGAGAGGGGCTTCCCAGCCCACAGAAGAGGCCAGGCACCCATCTACTTAGGTTAGCTGTGCTAATAATGCGCGGAGGGAAGGTGCTAGGAGCCAAAGACGAGGAAGACAGGAATTCCACATGCGAGGCCGGGCAGCGAAGTGGGATTTTTCTCTTTGAATTCCTGGCATAGGGGATGGCAAAAGCCAAGTTACAGAGGAAGGAGATGGCCTGCTATGGTCTATAAAGCAGAGCACCGAGAGCATCTGTTTATCCGGGCCAAGGTGGCGCACGCCTTAATCCCAGCATTCGGGAGGCAGAGGCAGGTGGATCTCTTGAGTTCCAGGATGCTTGGGGCTACATAGAGAAACCCTGTCCTGAGAGAAGGAGAGAGAGAGTCTGATTAGCCTATGAGATTCGTAGAGATGAGCAGTTGGAAATGCTGAGTCAGCTGTAACACTTATTATTCCTGTTCCGGGTTTCATGATCACAGTCTTCCCTGGGAACTGGCCACTGGCTACACAGCTAGGACACAGCAGAACCCACAGCAAACTTGACTCCGTCAAAAAACCATACACTGTCCTCGACCCCTAAAAGCCCCACTGGTTCTTACCGCCTACACCCAATGCACTCTTGCCACGTAACAGCAGCAGATTCTAGGCTCAGGAGGAAGTGGCAGAAACATTCCCAGGCGGCCACATCTCAAAGCCTGGATCGCAGTGTGGAAGACATCAGGCTGTTCCCATGGGACATCTCCCTCTCAGCGACTCCCCCGGCTCTGGACCTCGCTCACTATCCTAGCCTCCAAATGCCAGACCATGACAAGTTCCAAGAACAGCCTGCACTCACCTGCTCATGCTTGGCCACATTTGCTTCTCCGCAGACACACACGTCTCCCAGCTACTTTTAACTACAAAAGCCAGGTGGGACAGCTTGTTCCTATAGTCTGGGCCGCTCAGGAGTTGGGGGCATGAGGATCGCTTGAGCCCCAGAGCTCCAGACTGCACGCAGGGCAGCTCTGTGAAAGCCTGACACACGAAAGGGGACGGAAATGGGAAGAGTGAACTGAGAGGGAAGAAGAGGATGAATATCTTAGCCAGGCATGGTGGCACATGCCTGTGATCCCAGCATTTGGGACGCTGAGCAGAAAGATTGCTTCTAGGCTAGCCTGGGATACATAGTGAGACCTTGTCTAGAGAGGAAAAAAAAAAAAAACAACTTTTTCTTAAATTCTCCGATATGCACCCGTCACATAATAGTGGCATTCTGCTACATAACAGTTACCAAATTGGCGGTTGACACTACATTTTTTCCAGATTTCCCTTCACCGAAAATCTTGAGTTGTTGCCTTTAGCCATCAGATGCGGTCCTACCCAGCCCACATACCAAGTTTGTTAGCATCTCTCTGAGCAAATAAATAATCTGAGAAGAGCCGTCTTTCCTTTTATGTATACTTGATTAGTCCATTAGTGATTGGGACCCGGCTATTTTTGTTTCCGCCTTTTTGGTAATGTGTGCTTCTGATTCCATCACTCTGGAAAGCCGATATCAGGGGCCTCTATGAGGCATTTGGTTAGCAGTTAATACCATGACCGTATGATGTCTCCATGGCAACGGGGAAAATTTCTGTAACACAGTTCTCTAGACCAGCGAATCTCAACTGTGGGTCTTGACCCCTTTGGGGGCTGAATGACCATTTCATGGGGTCGCCTAAGACCACCAGGAAACACATATTCACATTACGGTTCATAACAGTAGCAAAATTATAGTTATGATGTAGCAATGAAGATACTTTATTGGCCAGGTCACCACAACATGAGGAGCGGTATTGAAGGGTCACTGCAGGAGGACAGTTGAGAACCTCTGCCCCACACCACGTTCCTTCCATCCACGCCCAGTGATGACCTTCGCCTGAACTGTACCGCTGAAGGCTGCAAAACGGTGTTTTTCTTCCATTCCTTCTGTATTGGTGCTCATTTGGGGTGGAAGAGTAGGTTGAGACAGGGTCTCCTATAGACCAGGCTGGCCTTGAGTGGTAATTGTGCACCAGATAGAATCTACAGTCACCTTGGAGGTGGGCCTCTGGTCATGCCATGGGAGGTTATCTGGATTATTTTTGTTGTGACCAAGGCAATTTAAGAGTTTGTTTGAGTCTGTCCAGAGGACTAAGAGTCCATCTTGGCAGTAGGAACAGCTGAGAACTCACATCTTGAACTGCAAGTCGGAAGCAGAGAATGGTGCATGACCCCTATAACCTCAAAGCCCGCCCCCAGTGACTTATTATTCCACCAGCCAGGTCAGACCTCCTAAACCTACCCAGACACCACCACCAACTGGAGGCCAAGTATTCAAACATCCGAGCCTACTGCGGACATTCTCACTCCAACTACCGCAAGACTCAGCTTTTCAGTTCCTTCAAGACAAGGTCTCACTATGTAGCCTTAGCCGTACTGGTCACTTTTAGACCAGGCTGGTCTCGAACTCAGAGATCACCTGCCTCCACCTCCCGAGTGCTGGGATTAAAAACATCTGCCACGACATCCAGCCATAAGAGCCATCTTAACGGTGGGTGGGACCTTTCCCTTACTATACAGTGGAGGAAGGGACTGGGCCACTGTGGGCTCTCATTGCCCTGTCTCTTGACCGGGTGCAGTGTGACCACGTGCTGTGCCTCCTCAGTGTGGTCACATGTTGGGCTGCAACCTCGTGCTGCCCTTGACACACACACACACACACCGCTGGGCTGTGTCCTAGAATCAGCTCCTCCTTTGGATTCTTTCAGTCAGGATAGTTTATCACAGCCACAGGAAAAGGAACGAAGTCTGGACCAGGCCCGCCCACCTGCCTGGTGCACCTTCTTTCTCGCTCCCTGTTTCCCCTCACCCGTTTTTCTCTTTCCACAGTGAGATTATGGACCCATTGAAAAAATCCAGTGTGCTGAAATCTATCGCTGTTTTTATTTTTGATACTCAGATTATCCTAAACCTGTCCTTGCGACCAGCTCCCGTATTCTTCTGACATGAACTTATTAGTCTTTGTTCTTTGTTATCTGGCAAAGAAAGTTCCGGGCTTACCTGGAAATTTCCCTTAAAAAATCCACGAGCCATCCATTTCTCCAGGAAGCCCGTGGTTCCTCTTGTCGGAGATGTCCAGAAAGACCTGTGCAGGTGTGCATGGATTACATATCATTTCTAGGCTCTAGAATGAATGAATGATTGTTTGGGATATCTAGAAAGACCCGTGCAAGTGTGCATGGATTACATATCATTTCTAGGCTCTAGAATGAATGAATGAGTTAAGCAGAAGGAGAGGGATTGTTATCTGTAGGCTTCTGGTTGTCACAGTAGTTGGTCCTACTGATCACATCTCCAGCCCTTTCTGTCATTTGAGGACAGCCTTAATATCTTCTGTTTTGAGCTCAGTATCTCACTGGTACAGCGTTGGCTAGCATCGATAGGGTCCTAGTTTGAGCTCTAGCACCACAATCAATCAGTTCATGCATGTCCTTGGTTTTCCTCTCAGAAGCATTGCAAGTCTTATTCAAATTCTGTTTCTGGTCCTTAATAAAATACTGTGGCTTCTGGTATTGGCCAGGGCACAGGCTCAGGAGCCCTCCTTTGGAAATCTGGCCCAGCCTCCTCTCAGCCTCTCGGTATGTGGTCTTAAGTAGCTGCCTTCACAACCAGGATGATAACCGTGCTGCCACTGTGCCGTTTTAGTGACCTAACCTTCAGGACAACGCCTCCCATGGCTCTGAGCCTGTCATAGTTCAGTCAAGTTGAGGTGGCCGATGTGGAAACACCTACGGGGCAAAGGCTGAGGAGTGCACACCCTGCTGACGGAGTAGCCTCCACACACAGCCGGCCACTGCTTTGGGCAGGTTACCTAATCTCCTGAGCCTCGGTTTCCCCTTTGTAAAGTGGAGGTAATTAGTCTTTCTGATCTTAAAGAGGCCACTATATCTGATACACCCACAACCAGTACTTTCCTTTGTTTCTATCTTAGGGATCTTAGTTCAAGGTTGCAGGTGATGGTTTTCGGGCCCTGGACTGAAATTGCCCCTTCCCACAGGGCCAGGTGGGGCACCCCGGCCCACTGGCCCGACCTGTGCCTTAAGGGTCACGGGTGCTACCATCTCCTGGTTTGATGCCTGTGATTGGCCCAGAGAGGGAGTGAGGCTGGGGTTTTTGTTTTTATTTTCTTTTGTTGTTGTTGTTTTGTGTTTTTCCAGTGTTTTAAGTGATTGGGCAAACTTTCATAAGAGAACTGTTCATTCACACACAGGGCCGTTGCTTGGAACTTCTATTTCCTGATTGAGTTTGCTTCGCTTACCTTTCGAATCTGGCCTTGAAAGACCTGGGTTGCTGGGGAAAGGCTCAGTGGACCTGCAATGTGCAGGCGCTGTTCGTCATCCTGGGACTTTGTCCCCTGTCTTCAGGCGTCAGTGGTGTATACAGAGCGTGAGGACGTGGGCATCTCTGCTTTCATTGCGTACCGGGGAATACATTCATCCTGTGATAGAGGAAACTGAGAAGTGTGAGGTTCAGGATCGGATTCAGATCTCAGCTCCTCCACTGACTAGATATGACCTACCCTCTCTGAGCCTCAGTTTCCCTTGTGTACAAACTGGAGGGGACGAGAGTATTGTAGGAAAGAAAAATGGGCATTAGATGCCCAGGACGGCTAAAGCAGACAAACAGGAGGAACCCCATTTTGGTCAGCGTGTGCACCTTTGTGAGTCCACAGAGATGAGGCTCCAAGAATTTGTGATTAAGTTTATACAGCATCCTGGACTAGAGAAAGGAGGAAGAGCTTGAACTTCGGACAGTGGTAGGGAATTATGGGAGAGTGGGGGGAGGAAATGCGTAATGAATATGGGTTCGCTTCTTATACAGATGGAAGTCTCAGGTGACCACAGCCGTCTCCGAGTGGCTCCCTTCTCGGTCCTAATGAGTTTCCTGTGCACTTGCAGCCCCCCCCCCCCTTCTACAACTACATCTGTCCAGAGCTGCTCCGACGCCTGCACTTTCTCAAAATAACTAAACAGTCCATATGTCTAAGGGGACACGGCGTATTCTGGTCATGTCGTGTTAAGGGTGGTGTGTCCTAGACCCCCCTTAAGGTGTGCTTGTAAAGGCTTGGAGGGAATCACTTAACACCACAGACTCCATATTAAAGTAGGGCTGAGGATGTAGCAGGGAGTAGAGACTCTTGCATTCCCAAGGTCTGGGGTTTTATCTCCCACAGTACAAAAATGTGAGCCAGGCAGTGGTGGCGCAAGCCTTTAATCCCAGCACTCGGGAGGCAAAGGCAAGCAGATCTCTGTGAGTTAACGGCCAGCCTAGCCTGGTCTACAGAATGAGTTCCAAGACAGCCAGGGCTGTATAGAGAAACCCTGTCTTCAAAAACAAAACAGAAAAAAAAATTAAAAATATATGAATGCTGAGGATGGAGCTCAGTGACAGAATGCTTGCCTGACTCCACCACCAAACGTGGAAGAAATTAATTAAAATGGGTAAAGAGTTGCCAAGTGTTAAGTGAGGCCCAGCAACAGGCAGCAGCCGCTGGCTTGCCAAGCAGGTCGCCGAGTGGTGTTTGAACAAGATGCTTCAAGAGGTTTCAGACCTTTTGAGGCTGCTAATGCCTCTGCTGCTTATGGCTCTCATTACCAGTTCCTCTGTCTGTAGTGTTAGGCTTGGAAACACTGCACGTATTTGGGAGATGCTCCTGAGCTGTATGACTCAACCCTTAAGCACCACTTTCTGGGCTGGAGAGGTGGCTCAGTGGTTAAGAGCACTAGCTGCTCTTCCAGAGGTCCTGAGTTCGATCCCCAGCAGCTGCATGGTGATTCATGACCATCTTCAGTGGGATCTGGGATCCTATACCCTCTTCTGGAGTAAAGGTGTATGTGCAGATAGAACACTCTTATGCATAAAATAAATAAATAAAATCCAAAAGAGAAAAAAAGTACCACTTTCTGAACTCAGGGCCTTCTGAACTCACTGACCTTCACCTTACCCCCACCTTAGTCCCTGTTCTACTGCTATGAAGGGGAGCCATGACCAAGGCAACACTATTTATTTATTTTTGATTTTTCAAGACAGGGTTTCTCTGTGTAGCCCTGGCTGTCATCCTAGAACTCACCCCTTAGACCAGGCTGGCCTTGAACTCACAGAGGTCCACCTGTGTCTGCCTCCTAGTGCTGGGATTAATGGTGTGTGCCACCACTGTCTGGCTGCAACACCTCTCAAAGAAAGCGTTTAACTGGGGGCTTGCTCACGGTTTTGGAGTGTTCATTCATCATCATAGCAAGGAGTATGGTGTGCACACAGACAGGCCTGGCCCTGGAGCCGAGAGCTTTACGTCCAGATTCACAGGGTTTCTCAGTAGCTCTGGAGCCTGTCCTGCCACTCCCGCTGTAGACCAGGCTGGCCTCGAACTCAAAGAGATCCGCCTGCCTCCGCCTCCCGAGTGGGATTGTAGCCCCCAGAACAGAGTTGGTTTGTTTGTTCAGACAGGAGCTCACTATGTCACCCTGTGTGGCCTGGACCTTACTCTACCAGACTGGCCTTGCACTCACAGAGACCCTCCTGCCTCTGCCTCCCTGAGTGCTAGAATTAAAAGTATCAACCACCACGTGCAATGAGAGGAGAGCTCTGAACATGGGAAACTTGGGCAGAGCCTTATAGACGCACTGGCTCCTAGTTTAGGCCTTAAAAGCTGACAGCAGGGGCTGGAGAGGTGGCTCAGAGGTTAAGAGCGCTGGCTGCTCTTCCAGAGGTTCTGAGTTCAATTCCCGGCAACCACAAGGTGGCTCACAGCCATCTGTAGAGATCTGGTGCCCTCTTCTGGCGTGAGGGCATACATGGAGGCAGAATGTTGTATACATAAGAAATAAATAAATCTTTAAAAAAAAAAAAAAAGCTGACAGTAGAAAAGATGGAGGGTCTGGTGGTTTGAAAGAAAATTGCTCCCAAGGCACTGTTAGGAGGTGTGGCCTTGTTGGAGGAGGTGTGTCACTGTGGGAACAGGCTTTGAGATCTCTTTTGCTAGAGCTTCCCTCAGTGTGACTGTCAGTTTGACTTCCTGTTGCAAGATGTAGGACACTTGGCTAGTTCTCCAGCACTATGCCTGCCTGCATGCTGCCACACTCCCCCAGATGATAATGGACTGAACCTCTGAAGTGTTTTCCTTGTAAGAGTTGCTATGGTCACGGTGTCTCTGCACAGCAGTGGACACCCTGAGACAGAAGTTGCGAGCAGGAGTCAGGTCGTGCCGTGATATGCCTGACCATGTGCTTGTTTGGATGAATTTGGACTTCGGTGCTTTGGATTATGAACAGTGGTCTGCTTTAAGCACTGCTTAAGGGCCACGCTTGTAGGAACATGGAAGACAGAGGTGCTAAGGTCATTTGAACTGCTAGGGGCTCACTCAAGAGGTTTCAGAGAAGAAGTTTGCTGTCATCCTAGAGAGCTCAGGCAGCTGCTCCTTGAAGGAGACACAAAAGCAGGTGGCTAGGAGAAAAAATACTGTTATTATTGGCCCTGTGAATGGGGCTAGCCATGGGAAGTCATTAACTGCCAGAAAGAATGGGACAGAGAAGTGCCCTGGTGGAAGAGGAGAGGCTCGAGTGAATAGCTGAGGCACAAGAGCAGATAAGACCAGATTTTAGTTGGTAGGTACCAGTGGTGAAGTCCCAGGAGCTGGTGCAGGTTTTGGCGTTGTCTGGAGGGCCCTTTGAAAGTTGGTCTTGGTCCAGACAGCAGGAGTGACCTGTAAAATGGGTGGGGTTAAAACACGCTCTGGAGACTGTTAGTTTTTACCAGACCAGATTTCCTGATAAAGCAGCGAAACTTTTTTTTTTTTTTTTGAACCTGTAGGTATCTGTAAGACATTCTCTTACAGGAACACTAAAGGGAATTTTTAAAGATACACCTGTTAGTCCTGGACTCCGAAGCCTTTTAAAGAGGCACACCTGTCTGTATTTAACAGGAAACTTAACAAATGAGATAATGAGCTACCAGTACCTGAAGTCATCAAATGCCATTAGCAGATCTGGGAGGGATAAATGAGCAGAAATGAGACAGCTTTTTTAGCTACACAGGCAGTCCCAAGTCTCTCCTTAGTCCTTGGAGAACACCAGCCTTAGAGGCAGTGCTTGCTGTTAGCTGCTGAGTATAAGAGGCCTGAAGATTTTCCTATGGTGGTGGGGGAGGATTTAGTCTACCTGCCTTGGTAGGATGAGACAATCAGATCCCCCAGGTGTAGCATCCAGGAAGCTGAAGGGTGGAAGGCCGCTTTTTGCTTTGTGGGTGGCTTTGCCATACCCAAAGGCAGGCCTCAAGGCAGAAGGTCTTTTGCAACTACACATCTTCTTGGAGGAGCTATAGGGTGCTGCGGGAGCTGTCGTGTCTCTGTGGTAGAAGCTTTTTTGTTAAATGCCATACTCTCAGATCTGTAAAGGCACTTGAGGATTGGGCACCATTACCTGTTATATTTAAACTAGACATATAAGCTAAATTTAGACATGTATTTTACCCAGTTAGTTACAGCTTACCAATGCTAGTAAATGTAAGACGATTAAAAGGAATATTTTAATAAATCCAAGACTAATAGCACATGTGGGTACTCTTACCCAAGATGGCAGTGAGGTCAAAATGGAGGTTACCCATGTGTTTGTATCTTTCCAGAGCCATTGTAACCTGGAGTTAAAAGTTTTACAGATCTTAAAACACACACACATACAGAGAAATGAGACAACCCTACTGTGGAAGCAAATACACATACACAGATAGACATAAAAGCATAGTGTGGCCACAAGCAAACATACATATAGAGACATAAAGCAAGCCTACTGTGGAGGCGCACCCCTGCCCGACTCGGCTGTGTGCCCCAAGCACCCTTCCCAGCTGCTGACAAAGCTGACCACCCCTTCCTTCATGGCCGCTTACCACCCAGCCCTGTTGGATCTCCCTAGTGTCTCACAGACCATCTGCTCCATATTTCTGCCCAGAGTTTTGTAATTTCACTGTGGGCTGGTTCCTCTTCAGACACTCCAGATGGCCAATGCTTGTCTGCAGTATCAAAATGCCCCCACTGGACTGATGGGCAAAGCAGCTGGGCATCTCTGTCCACCCTGGCCCCGTCCCTGGAGAGAAAGGGGGTCCCAGTGTAGATACACGCCACACAGAGAAGGCTGCTGCCTCCGCTGACCCCACCCCCATGGACCTGTATGCTTACAGGATCTTTCTCGTGCCCGGATTCGTCTCTGCCAGTTCCTCACGAATCTGTCTGTTCAGCACACTTCACTGCCTGTGGTCTGCCCTCCCCCACACTCCCACCAGCATAGGTTCTTCTGTAGGGCAATACTGAGGCTTATTTCTCTCGGTGTCCCCACCTCCACTGTCCGGGTGGCACTGCTGAATCCATTCTACGTTTCCTGTAGAAGCCGAGTGGGTGTAGCTCGTTCTCTCAAGAACCTTACAAAGATTCAGGACTTACAGTTAAAGGAGGCCAGTGCTCTAGATGCTGGAGGCTGGGAGGCAGTGGGGGTGTTTTTATCGTCTTTCAAAAACATTTTACTTATTTTTATTTGGTATGTATGTATGAATATTCTGCCTGCCATGTACGTCCGTGCACCACATGCATGCAGTGCCCTCAGGGGCCAGAGGAGGGCGTCAGAACCTCTGGAACGGGAGTTACAGGTAATTGTTAGCAGCCATGTGGGTGCTGAGAATTGATCCCCGGTCCTCGGCAAGAGCAGTGAGCTCTCTCTGCTGAGCCATCTCCAACCAAGGGTGTTTTTAAGGAGTGGGGAGACCGCCTTCAGGAGCAGCACCCCTCTGCAGTCAGCTTCAGCTTGAGGACCGAGTGGCTTGGTGTGGGGGAGGGGTCCAAAAAGGACCGTCATGTGGACGCCAGTGATCCAGGGTAGCTCTGCAGATAGGTGGAGATGGCACCAGTCACGATTATTTGTGAATTGGAAGAGGAAAATAGTTCATTTCAGATCAGCGCTGATGCGGTGAGAATACTGAGCCCGGCACAAAGCATCTGTTAAGGGCCGCACAGAATGATCTTGAATCATTTACACATTTTTCTCTTTTTTTATTAACTAATTTATTTATTAAAGATTTCTGTCTCTTCCCCACCGCCGCCTCCCCTTTCCCTCCCCCTCCCCCAATCTAATCCCCCTCCCTCGTCAGCCCATTTTTCTTTCACAAAGAAAAGGACCTTGAGTTTAAATCCTGGCCCAGATGTCCTTGTCCACAGGGATGGGTGATGGCACCGTCTTTGTCCAAAGATGATAGGCCTGTTACGTATGCAAATTAATACTCATAAAAGAATTCAGGGAGCTCTTAGCCCAGGCCTGTGTTCCTTTCGTCCACAGACCAGTGGCTCTCCAGCCTTACTGAGCTTTTGAAATCACTAAGGAGGCTTTTCCAAAAATTGTTATGTGTGTCTGCCTGAGTGTGTGTGTGTGCGTGCACATGTGTGCGTTTTTCTTCCCTTGTGAGTCTAATATGCAGCAGTTATCAACCATTCATCAGGCATTAATACATTTCACCCTCAGCGAGGCTTGACCTGTAATTAGGAGTTAAGGAGTGTGACTATGCAGATATGCTTAGATCATAATTTAATTTTTATTTTAATTTACTAATTTAGAATTTCTCATTTTACACACCCAGAACTGTTTCCAGGCACCTGGCCTCCTACCATGTCTGACCCCATCACACTGAATGTCGGGGGGAAGCTCTACACAACCTCCCTGGCCACATTGACCAGCTTCCCTGACTCCATGCTGGGCGCCATGTTCAGCGGGAAGATACCCACCAAGAAGGACAGCCAGGGCAACTGTTTCATTGACCGAGATGGCAAAGTCTTCCGCTATATCCTCAACTTCCTGCGGACCTCCCACCTGGACCTGCCGGAGGACTTCCAGGAGATGGGCCTGCTCCGCAGGGAAGCTGACTTCTACCAGGTCCAGCCCCTGATCGAGGCCCTGCAGGAGAAGGAGGTGGAGCTCTCCAAGGCCGAGAAGAACGCCATGCTCAACATCACCCTGAAGCAGCGCGTGCAGACGGTCCACTTCACCGTGCGGGAGGCGCCGCAGATCTACAGCCTGTCGTCCTCCAGCATGGAGGTGTTCAACGCCAACATCTTCAGCACCTCCTGCCTCTTCCTCAAGCTCCTGGGCTCCAAGCTCTTCTACTGTTCCAACGGCAACCTCTCCTCCATCACCAGCCACTTGCAGGACCCCAACCACCTCACTCTGGACTGGGTGGCCAATGTGGAAGGCCTCCCAGAGGAAGAGTACACCAAGCAGAACCTCAAAAGGCTGTGGGTGGTGCCCGCCAACAAGCAGATCAACAGCTTCCAGGTCTTCGTGGAGGAGGTGCTGAAGATCGCCCTGAGCGATGGATTCTGCATCGACTCTTCCCATCCGCACGCTCTGGACTTCATGAACAATAAGATCATCCGGTTGATACGGTACAGGTAGAAAGACCCCCGCCACACGGGGGAGGAGCCAGCCTGGCTTTGAGGAGGGTCTCACCAGGCGCGAGGCGGGGACCTACACTAATCTGTATTAATTGCATAGCAGAGCTCGATCCCGCACGATGAAGTCCACCTTCGGGAATCCACGTGTCCTCCAAAGGAAACCACCTCTTCTTGCTATGTTGATCTGGCGGTGGGTAGTTTACAAGTGAGAAGTCAGCTGACGCACACAGGAGGCGCCCACAGAACCCTCTGGCTGGGACAAAGGAGGAGCAGTGGGCTCATGGGTTCTCATACCCCAGTCAGTGCCTCGCTTCCCCGTCTCCAGAGAGAGCCCTGGCTGCCGAGGGGGAGGGTGGGAACCAGAGGCTCCTTTGCGTTTCCTAGGACTTAACCGTGCAGCGACTCCCGTCACACCTGCTCTTTGCCCTGGGGGGTGCGTCCAGGTACCAGGACACCTTTGCCCGTGTGTGGGTGGTGCGGAATGCGGTATGTTCCCAGAACCCTTTGTGATTCCACTCAGGGAGAAAGCTGAGCTGTGCTGTGGCCTAAGCTTCAGCAGGAGGGAACGGCCCTCCCAAAGAGGCTGAATGAAGGGTTCTTGGCTTCAGAAACTGGTTGCTTTCCCTGCAAAGATGTGATAGTTTTGGAGCCAGGATGATGAAAGACCCGTCACGATCCTGCCTGTGGCTTGACTTTCCTAGCCCTTTTCCCGTGAATTGGAAGCGTCACTCAACAGTTTAAACCAATATATGATGAACTCTCAGGGTTGGAAAATAATCCAGTAGCTTTTAGTTCTTCCCCTTCTCTAGGACACCCCAGTACATTTGGGGACGAGTGCCTCTCCTTGAGTACCTGCAAGGGATCACCTTTGCCAGCTTGCACACCCCTGGTGACAGACAGAAAGGTCACTACCAAGGTTGAGCCCTGCTGGTTATCTTTCAGTGTTGACAGTCTGTCCCGCTAGGTCTTCCTCTTCACACAGACGTACGTGCTTGATTTTAGACACGTTGACGGTACCATTACTCAGAACTCAGCCTCCCTTTGCAATTTGTCATTAGCAAAATTAGCGCCTTTCTATCCTCATTCATGGCCCCCAGTTCATCAGCCTTCCCCGCCAGCCATGGCTCAGCATGCTCCTGATCATATCTGGCTGGAAGAAGACCGCTGACTGGGGAGATCTGGGGTTTGGGAACACGGTGTTCGGCAGGAGTACAGCTCTGTACCACCAGAGTGCCCTGGAGTGAGCGTCCAGCCCCTACCACGCCTCCTAAGAAAGCAGCCTTCCCTTTCATAACTACCTGTGGGCCCCCCGGGGACACATGAAGGACTAGAAAGGCCAGACTGCTATCCCCAACAGGAGCCGCACATTGTGAGTCATCCCTGCAGTGACTATAGTTTCGAGTACCGGAATCTTCCCCGCTGGAGACACACACCAGACACAGCCGGGGAAGCCAGGAACAGGGTCCAGGGGTGAACAGAGCAGTTTCCATGGTTACACCTTGTGCATGAGGCATTTTCATAGTAATAGACAAAACCTGGTTCTGAGGCAACAAAGGCCTTTCCCTGCCTTCAGCAAAGCTGGCGGGAGCCAGGAGTCTCCCTGTGGCTGTGGAGTCACTCTATCAGTGGTACTAGAAAGTTCTTCAGAGAACACAATCCAGACAACAGAAGCTGTGATCATGGTCAAATAAGTCAAGGGGGAAAAAAACCCTCCAAAATCAACACTGCCCCCCCCCTTTTTTTCTTCATCTGTTTGGTGCTTCCTAATTCAACAGCTTGACCTTAGAGCAAGGGCAGAGCCTGTGAAGCCACTAACACACTACGTGACTCTGCAGGTCACTCGCCTCACTGAGCCACCTCCATTTCTTCATCTGCGAAATGGGTGTAGAGTAACACATAACCCTACCTACCTCACAGGACTGTTGTGAGGAGCACACAAATAACGAATGTGAGAATAAACCATACATGACAGTTACTTTGTGTCTGCTTCCAAAGGGGGGAGCCGGCTGGAACTAGCTCCACTGCTTACTGTTAGATCCCTGGCCCTGACTGAGTTCCTCTGATTTGTTTCCTCACTGGGTTAACACCCATGCCCCAAGTACCTTGAAAGAGTTGGTAGGGACTCCAGCTGGTCCTGGAACACAGCTCAGCCGATGCTGCTGTCTCTCAGTAGTTACGGGGACAGGGGTGTAGGCAGTTAGCTAACCAGCCTGGAAACAGTTGCGCACCTGCCGCGGGAATGTGGCGTAGCCTTATGGGTGGCAGAAAGTGGGTTAGCCCTTGATGGAATTGACAGGCGTGCACTGAGGGTCGGCAGGAGAGTGCTGAGGGTAGGTGGACTTCCCACATGGCCGCTGCCTGGGGGAGTGATGGGGACAGGCTCACAGGTGAGGTCAGCCAGCTGCCCAGCGAAGGTGAGAGAGGAGGAGCCCGGAGCAGTGGGCGGAGTCATCGCCAAGGATGTGGGAGTGGGGCAGAAGCAGGGGTGGGCTGCTCTGAGCCCCTCACTCCCAGAGGGAGCTCACCCGCGGCCAGCTGAGCTCTACCGCTGCTGAGGCGGCAGCCCTGTCGGCTCTCTGTTCCCTTACGTGCAGCACACGGTCAGGAAAGGTGCCCATGGGAACTCTGAGGCACCTGGATGACCACTGCGTGAGGCCTGCCCCCAGTGAAGGCCAGCAGCGGCTGCCTCCGAGGTACCATTCTGTCACCGGACACCCTCGGTGCGGCCCAGATTCGGCCATTTCCACAGTGTTTTATTAGGCACTGTGTGGCCTGAATCGCGGCATTTATTAGAATTTACCCAGTGCCAGCTTCCTTTTCATGAATTATTCCCAACAGGCTCTGTGAAGGGGGTGTTAGCCAAGGTCAGCTCGTGGCCGGAGCGCCACCCCTCCCTCCCTGGACTGCAGTCCACACTGACCATCTGTGTCTGCCTGGGCGTCCAGGGGCTCGGGGCTGGTGGCAGTGGTTGGCAGGGACATGAGACCCTGTAATCATTTCCCAGAGCGAAACAAAAAACCTTGACAACAGACCTATCCAAGGGAGAGACCAGGCTGGTTGCCAGGTCCCAAGAATCGGACTTTTAACAGCTCCATCTGCCCAGACAGCTGGGTGCCCTCAGTCTCCTTCAGAACCTCTGGGTCAGTGAAGCATGGCCGAGCAGCGGAGGTAGCCTGGTGACAGAGTCACCCTGAGAAGGCTGGTCAGTGGAGCCCAGGGGTTCACTGCGCACCCATAGCTCCCGGGTCCCACCTGAACCAAGGTGACCAAGCAGCTCTGAAAGTGGTGCTGTCTGCCAGTCTCACGGGCAGTGAGTCTGAACCTTGCCTATCTGACCTTGGCCCCGCCCCCAGTGCCCAGGGCTAGAGGCTACCATTTTCGGGTTAGCTGGTAGCCTAGAGTACTCCAAACCCGTCTCCCTGTTATGTGAGTCCCCCCCCCCACACACACACACACGCTCTGCCTTATAAGGGGGGACTGTAGAGGACGCTCTTGCCCTTCCTACCCTGAGAGCACAGGAAAACATGGCCGTGTATGAGCAGGGAATGAGCAGCTAGCTATACCTTGGATGATGAATTCCCCAAAGGTGCATGAATTAAAAGCTAGCTTCCCAGGATGGAGGCTTTAAGACATGAGTGGTGGGAGGTCCTTAGCTCAC